GGGTTTGGGCTGCTGGGGATTGTGAATGACCCTGGAAGCAGCCAAAACACGAATCCATGTTAGTGTCCTGGAATGTGAGGGGCCTGAATAAAATGGTTAAGACTAAAGAGGTTAGCTCCCGCCTCCGTTCTCTTAACCCAATGATTTTTATTTTGCTTGAGACTCGAGTGAAGCAAGATAAGGCTGACACTATTAGGTGCAAGATGAAGCTTAAAGGCTCGTTTATGGATAACTATGTTGATCATGCTAATGGTAGAATATGGATCTGGTGGAACAATGCTAAGACTGAAATCAGGAAAGTCGCTAGCACTGGGCAACTACTTCATTGTAGTGTCTATGATATGCAGGGTATGTTTCAATTCTGCCTTACAGCAGTGTATGACGCAAACATAATGGACTATCGTAAGAATTTGTGGAGAGATATTGAACACATTAACCAAAACCAACAGGGGCCATGGTTTCTTATTGGTGATTTTAACAATGTTGTCCAGACTATTGACAGAAGAGGAGGATCCATGGTGCAGATGAAAGAGTATAAAGATTTAACTGATATGATGAACCACTGTAACCTTAGTGAAATGGATATGGTTGGAGATTATTACACATGGTCCAATCGGCAAGGTGACAACATCATTCACTCTAGGATTGACCACGGACTGGCTAACACTGAGTGGTTTCAAAAATACATCAGCATGTGCCTAAAAATCCTTACCCCTGGCATATCTGATCATGCGTTACTGCTGCTGTCTGGCCCTGAAAATATTGTGAATAGAACCCCTCAGTTCAAGTTCCTTAACTGTTCTACTGAGGTTGAGGGATTTCAAGAACACATTGCTAATAGCTGGAATGTTCCTATTCAGGGTAATCCCATGTATGTAATGTGGAGGAAACTGCTTAGAAGCCAAAATGTTGTGCAAAAGATTAGTAAACCTTTGTTGGGTGTCACTGCTGCCCTCAAGAATGCAAGACATAAGTTACAGGAGACCCAACTGAAGCTCAGGGAGGACTTTGATAATCCTGAAATTATCCACCTTGTTAAAACCAGATCAACTGAGGTTTGTTACCGGAGTGAAATTGAGGAACAGGTGCTTAGGCAGAGGCTAAAATCAGCTGGCTCAGATTGGGAGATGGCAACAACAGGTTTTTTCATGCCTAGGTAAAAGCTAGACAAAACAGCAGTACTATTACTGAGATGTGTTATGTGACAGGTGAAATCCTTAGCAAGACTGAGGACATTGAGAATGAGGTGTTGTCGTTCTATGGTAGCCTCATGGGTAGTCCTAATAATAACATGGAAGGTATAAACTTAACTGCTATGAGAGCTGGTCCGCACATTACTAGTGTACAGAAAGATGTGTTGGTATGTCCCCCCACTGAAGCAGAAATTTATAGTGCCCTACATGACATTGGTGACCTGAAAGCCCCTGGTGTTGATGGTTTTGGGGCAAAATTTTTCAAAGCTTCATAGAGCATCATTAAAAAAGATATCATTGCTGCAGTTATGTATTTTTTCGACAACTTCAACATGTACCCTGCTGTTAATTGTACTCTTGTATCCTTGATTCCTAAAGGTAATGGTGGTAATTGTGTGAAGGACTTTAGACCGATATCCTGCTGTACTACGCTCTACAAAATCATATCAAAAATCTTGACTAGAAGATTGAGCAAGGTTCTTACCAGTATTATCAGTCAGAGCCAGGATGCCTTCATCCCTAGACAGAACATCCATGATCATATTTTATTAGCGTACGAGCTAATCCGAGGCTACAGCAGAAAAGGCGGTACTCCGAGATGTATGTTGCAGCTAGACATCCAAAAAGCCTATGATACCCTGGACTGGTATGCTCTAGAGTGTATCCTCAAGGAATTTGGCTTCCCTCACAAATTCACCAAATGGATTATGCTGGCGGTTACTACAGTATCTTACAAGTTCAATGTTGCTGGCAGAATTACTAGAAGCATGAAGGCTAAAAGGGGTCTTAGACAAGGTGACCCTATTTCTCCTCTTCTTTTTGTTTTAACTATGGAATACTTTCACAGGCTCCTACACTAGTTAAGCAAAGTTCCTGACTACAACTTCCATGCAAAATGCGAAAAGTTGCAAATCATTGATATCTGTTTTGCGGATGATGTTCTCCTCTTTACCCGCGGGGATAGCAAGTCTGTACAGTTACTTATGAATCACCTGCAAACGTTCTCCCAGTCCACTGGCTTAGTAGCTAACCCTGCGAAGTGTAGGGTGTACTTCGGGGGGTGTGAAAAATGAGACCAAAAATGACATCTTGGCTTCTACTTCGTTTATGGAAGGGGATTTACCTTTTCATTACCTGGGGGTTCCTCTCGCGTGTAAAAGGCTTTCAACGCATCATTATATGAGTTTGGTGGACAAAATAGTAAGCCGGATTCGTCATTGGAGCTCTAAATTATTGAGTTATGCAGGAAGACTCCAACTGATTAATAGTACCATTACTGCTATTGCAGCATACTGGATGAGCTTCCTCCCTTTCCCCAAGCATGTGATCAAAACCATTAAGTCTATTTGCAGGACTTTCCTGTGGACAGGTAGCGAGGTGAAATCGAGAAAATCCCCAATTGCGTGGAAGAGTGTCTGTAAACCTCGGCGGAAGGGCGGTCTGGATATGTTGGACTTATCAGATTGGAACACGACTTGTTTAACAAAACTGTTGTGGAACCTTTGCAACAAGAAGGATACTCTTTGGGTGAAATGGATCCACGCGTTTTATTTCAAAACTACAGATATTATGCAGGTCCAGGAAAAACAGGGTATGTCGTGGATTCTAAAAGCTATTCTTAGACACAGATTCATCATTATTGGCATGGAAGATTGATATGAAATGAAGGAGAAATACTCGGTGGGAAAAGTGTACCAGTTCCTAAAGAAGGACGATCCTGGTGTTGGATGGAAACACGTGTTATCCAACACTATTGCTAGACCGAGAGTCCTTTTTACTATGTGGATGACTTGCCACCATATACGTGCGACAAGGGGACGACTCAAAAGACTTGGCCTTACGATCGACGACAGGTGTAATTTCTGCGACAAGGAGGAGACAATTGACCACCTTTTATTTGATTGTCCACCGTTTAAAACCTGTTGGCAACAAATCCTGGTGTGGTTGGGGTTTCAACATTTCCCATGTGAATGGAGTGAGAAACTTGAGTGGTTAATCATGCATTGCAAAGGTAAAGGTTGGAGGAAGTGCATTCTGTGTAGTGCTGTAGCGGAAACCATCCATGAAGTTTGGAGGTATCGTAACAATGCTGTCTTTGGAAATACGGTGAATGTTTTGGATATTAGAGATTTAGTCATTTCTACCCTTGCGAATAAAGGGTGAGTGAATACTAGAATGAGGCATCATATAGCTCAATTACTTATAGAGTAGTTGTGGTTTTTGGTTGTTTTGTGGTTGGGGTCCTCTATACCCTTGTATATACTCTTTTTAGTTTATATAAATCATTTATTCAAAAAAAAAATATCATCTATATAATTTTCAAAATATTACATTACACTATACTATACTTTTATGACAACCAATAATAATTAAAAAATAAAATTGTATAATTAAAGAGTAAAATTATTATATTTAATTATTTAAATTTTTTTTTTAAAACAACCTCAAAGACTTTTATTTTGAAATGAATGTAAGGAGTTTTGTATTTATTGCATGTTTAAAGAAAAATAATAATTACAAATTTATTAAAGTAATTAATTAGTTATAGTTATATATTTGAGTTTTAAAATTTGATGACGTGGCTAATCTGCATAATGGATACTGTGTATCAATCTTGGATTGGCCAGTAGCAAGAAGAAGAAGCTGAATGAGGAACACCACTCTCTTCCCCTTGAATTTTCTGGTAAGAAGAATCATAGCTGTTCCCGGAGTAATGCTAGCTCCGAGCTTCGTGGCTTTTGGTTCGCGTTTGTTGCGGAGTCGCTTCTTCACGTCATCAGCCGGGTAGAATTTGGGGCCTTCTCTACCGAAGCTTCATGCTTAGGGCTGGGATCGTGGCGGTGGAAAGCACCACCGTCGTTGGCCTTAATGGTTCAGAGTTCCCTCTTGTGATACAGAACAGAACTAGAGTATTTCCGATACACTGATTAGTTCGCTGTTCTTGCTGTTTTCTGCTTTGGTGCCATTCCTGCTGCTGCTCTTTACCATGGAAACCCTAATTTTTCTCCATGTATAAACCCTAATTTTTTCTGTATGTATGGTTAAATAATAATAATAATAATAATAATAATAATAATAATAATAATAATAATATTTCGAAATACTAAAAATGGCATTTAATCCACCGTTTATTTAATTTCCATTTTTTAAAGATTTGACTTTCATAAATATATTCTGAACAGATTAGAATGGAAAGATAGAGTACAATTTTGAAGCTGCCACAAATAAAATATTGATATTGAAGAAAGATTGAAAGCCATTCCAGTGTGAAATGAAACTCTGCATTATTAGATTTAATTTATAAAAAAAAATAGATGGTATCTTTTGCTGAATGAAACCTAAAATGTAGCCAATCAATTTAATATTAATTATTGTTACACGTGCATTTATACTGTTTTTTCCTAAATAAAAACTATTGGGGGCAACACAAACAGCATCTTATAAAGTCAACTTAACTGGTGATTTTTGTTCTGTATTTGTGTTCACTTCTTATTACATGTTCAATGATGTCATTGTTTCTCAAAAATAATATGTAGCATGTTATATAGCTGGCGTGTTTCATGTATATCATATATGGAATATGAAAATCCTCATGTGACATCTTTTTTATTTCTATATATATGCACCTCAACATTGTTTATTTTTGTTTCACATTCATTCAAATCCCAAAGTGATAGGTAAACGGGGACCCCTTTGGAAAACTCAAAACAACATAACAATTCTGATTTATATATAGTCGGAATACGTTGACATCATTGTATTATATTGTATAAAATTTGTTGTTGTTATTGTTGTGGTGGTGGGATTATGGAGGGTGGAGGTAGTTTTAGGAGTGGTAGTTCATCAATTTGGAGGAACAATGATGCTGATGAGATTTTTTCAAATTCTTTCCACCAAGAAGATGACGAAGAAGCTCTCAAATGGGCTGCAATTCAGAAACTTCCTACTTTTGCACGTATGAGGAGAGGTTTGCTTAATTCACTTCAAGGGGAAGCCATTGAGATAGATGTTAAGAAACTTGGGTTGCAAGAAAGAAAAGATTTGCTTGAAAGACTTGTTAAACTTGATGAAAATGACAATGAGAAGTTTTTGCTCAAACTCAAGGATCGAATCGACAGGTTTCAAATTCAAACTTTTTTTTGTTCGCTTTTGAAATAAACTGATTTATTTCCTTATCATCCTTTTCTTCATTGAATGATATCAGAGTTGGAATTGATCTTCCTACGATAGAAGTTCGATTCAATCACTTGAATATCGAAGCGGAAGCTCATGTAGGAAGCAGATCTTTGCCTACCTTCTCTAACTTCATGATTAATATAGTTGAGGTAAGTATCAACTTTTTCTAAATACTAACTTGCTATGTGATTTTCTATTGAAGGAGATTCTTATTAAACATTTTAATTTTGAAGGTATTATTGAACTCTCTTCATGTACTACCTAGTAGAAAACAACATCTAAGTATTCTTAAGGATATTAGTGGAATAATAAAGCCGTCAAGGTATCAATATACAATTACTGTTCTATTCATTGATTTCTCTTAGGACCTCTTGAACAAATATAACATGTTCCAATTTGGTTATTTTCAGATTGACATTGCTTTTAGGCCCTCCAAGTTCTGGAAAAACCACACTCTTGTTGGCGTTGGCTGGAAAACTTGATCCAAATTTGAAGGTTAGAACATACAAAAGAACAAGCTTTTTTCTTTCTTCATATTTTAGCTCTAGCTAAATTTGTAATATGGTGTGAGTTCATGATCAGTTTTCTGGAAAGGTGACTTATAATGGTCATGAGATGAATGAGTTTGTGCCCCAAAGAACTTCTGCTTATGTGGATCAAAATGATCTTCACGTTGGAGAAATGACTGTTAGAGAAACCTTGGCCTTCTCAGCAAGAGTCCAAGGAGTTGGGCCGCGTTATGGTTAGTCTTAAATTTTGCTTTTTCCTTATATTCATTATCGAAAAACATAAGCCGAAGTACTAAGGTTTTGTTTGGATAAATAGCTTAATTAAAAGTTTATCATATAAAGGCTCATGTATAAACTATTTTTATAGCAAAAAGTAAAATACAGTCAAAATGTTTTCTTAAACTGTCTGGAAGAGCTTATGGAAATAAACTGAAAACCTGTATTGTATAATATTGTTGATGTTATGCAGACTTGCTAGCAGAGTTATCCAGAAAAGAAAAACATGCAAATATCAAGCCTGATCCAGATATTGATGTTTACATGAAGGTAATATAAAGGTTATTTTATGCTTAGAGGTTCGTCTATTTCTTTTCCATACAAATAGAAATGACTGATAATATAATGGACTGCCTATTTTTTGATTCATAATGATCACAGGCTGTAGCAACTGAAGGCCAGAAGGAAAATTTGGTAACAGATTATGTCCTGAGGGTAAAACTAATTTATACTTTCAAAACCATCTCTAATTATACTTATTATGTTTTTTTAAATCCTCTTGTTTCTTTGCTATACGTTTACAGATTTTGGGACTAGAGATATGTGCTGATACTTTTGTAGGAAATGCAATGTTAAGAGGTATCTCTGGTGGACAAAGGAAACGCGTTACAACAGGTAAAGCAAATTTGATTTCAATCTTAACGCGCATCATGATTAACCACCTTAATAAAAACGTTGCAGAGACAAATGTTTGTATTAGTTGTTATGTCAGCCTTTTTTCCTTTAACTGAATTTGAACCCCTATCCTTAATCGCCTTAATAAATTGATTATTATGATGAATAATGTAGGGGAAATGTTGGTTGGACCGAATAAAGCTCTATTCATGGATGAAATATCTACTGGTTTGGATAGCTCAACAACTTTTCAAATTGTGAACTCAATGAAGCAATATGTCCACATTCTCAAAGGAACCGCGGTTATCTCACTCTTGCAGCCACCACCAGAGACTTACAATCTTTTCGACGACATTATTCTAATCTCTGATAGTCACATTATATACCAGGGTCCCCTGGATCACGTACTTGAATTTTTCGAGTCTTTAGGTTTTAAGTGTCCTAGTAGGAAAGGAGTGGCAGATTTTTTGCAAGAAGTGAGTTTCACACTATATACCATGCCTTAATAAAATGGTTTTATAATTTATACTATGTTATGTAATAGTAAATTTAACTTTTGCTATGAAAAATATTATGTTATAGGTGACATCAAAGAAAGATCAAGAGCAGTACTGGGAACACAAAGATCAGCCATATAGATTTGTCACATCTGAAGAGTTTTCTGAGGCATTTAAATCATTTCATGTTGGTATTAGGCTTGGTGATGAACTTGATATTGAATTTGACAAGTCTAAGAACCACCCAGCTGCTTTGACAACCAAAAAATATGGAGTGGGAAAATTGGAACTGTTAAAAGCTTGCTTATCAAAAGAATATTTACTTATGAAACGCAATTCATTCGTCTACATCTTCAAGCTTTGTCAAGTAAGTTTGAAAATTTAATTATATAATGTGTTTTTCCAAGGTCTTATCCACTTTGTGTCTTATGTAAGTCCTCATAATTTTGTCATTAGTTAAAGGACGCCTCAATAGATTGAGGAGTGTGGATGTTTATAAATTTCCTTCAGTCTGTAATACATTATTCAAATCCTTTATTGATGCATCCCTCTACTTTTAGTTATTTATAATGGCAATGATTGCGATGACCATCTTTCTCCGGACTGAGATGCACAGAGATTCAGTGGCTCATGGAGGCATATATGTCGGTGCATTGTTCTACGCTGTTGTTGTGATCATGTTCAATGGAATGGCTGAAATTTCCATGGTAGTTTCAAGGCTCCCTGTTTTCTTCAAGCAAAGGGGATACCTCTTTTTCCCTCCATGGGCATATGCTCTTCCAGGATGGATCCTAAAAATTCCCTTAACTTTTGTAGAAGTGGCTGTTTGGGTATTCCTCACCTACTATGTCATTGGTTTTGATCCAAATATCGAAAGGTAAGAGTGATATGTCCTAAGTGTACTTGTTAAATTCATCTTTTTTTTTTCCTTTTCTCATTTTCTATATAGTGATATGCATTTGTTTGTCGTATTTAAACACAAGCCATACACTATAAATCCTAAATTTGAATAATAGATATTGCGGCCACTATGGAATCAGAGACATAGGCACAATTGGCCAACCTCCGTAATCCAATATTGTGTTCTTTGTTTGCATTGTTCTAACAACCTGCTACCTAGTGCAGATTTTTTAGGCAATACCTTGTTCTTGTACTAGTACACCAGATGGCTTCTGGGTTATTCAGATTTGTTGCGGCAGTTGGGAGGGATATGACAGTGGCTCTAACATTTGGATCATTTACACTTGCCATCCTTTTTTCTATGAGTGGTTTTGTCCTATCAAAAGGTATAATATCATAGATATAAAAAAAAAACAATCATGGTGTTTGTGACATTTATGTTCTATACTACTAAGAGTTCTCCTTTCTTTTCTTTGCTTTATGCTCACAGACGGTATAAAGAAAGGGTGGATATGGGGATTTTGGATATCACCTATGATGTATGGACAAAATGCAATTGTAAATAATGAGTTCCTTGGGGATAACTGGAAACATGTAAGTTCTTTTACTATTTTATCTGCTCATTTTCTATGTTTTCCTTAACATTAGTCCAGGTGGTTGGTGCCTGATGAATGTTAGTGTTGTAATTTGTCACTCTGGAGGATCAAGTTCGATTCGTACTCATAAAAAAATATAAATAGTCTTATGATGCCTTGAAACTTTTTCTTATGAAAGGTGCTTCCTAACTCAACGGAGCCTCTGGGAATTGAAGTTTTGAAATCTCGCGGATTCTTTACTGAATCATACTGGTACTGGATAGGTGTTGGTGCTTTGATTGGATATACATTGCTTTTCAACATTGGATATATCCTTGCTCTCACTTTCTTGAAACGTGAGTGACTTCTTCACCTTAAATGTATAATAAAAATGTTAAGACAAGCTCATGTACTAATTCTACAAAATTAATCATGCAGCATTTGGGAAGCATCAAACTGTTATACCAGAGGAATCTCAAAGCAGAAAAAGAAGTAATGTATTGAAGTACATAAAGGATATTTTTTCAGAGCACTCAATGAAAGGTACTTTCATCTCATAACTAAAGTCCATGTAATGTTTTGATGAGTGATAGTTAATGTCTTCAATTCACATAACACCATATGGATAACATTTGAGCGACATCACAGTGATAAATGGAAGCACCTCTCCTAGTACTTTATCCAGTAGACAAGAAACAGTTGCCGAGACAAATCGTAGTAGGAAAAGAGGAATGGTTCTTCCTTTTGAACCACATTCAATCACCTTCGATGAAGTAACATATTCAGTAGACATGCCACAGGTAATGTAAAAGCCGAATAAGTAAAGAGTTTGATTAAATTACACTGTCAGTATAAAAAGTTTTACCTGGTCAGCAAATCACAACCAATTTATTGTTTGACCGTATAAAAATCTTTACACTGACCGTGGCATAAGATCATATTGAACTTTCAAAGCATTAGTGTGAAGAAAAGATTATCAAATACTTGAACTGAACTTGCAGGAAATACGAAACCGAGGTGTTGTTGAGGATAAGTTGGTTCTTTTGAAAGGTGTAAGTGGAGCTTTCAGACCAGGTGTTCTCACTGCTCTGATGGGTGTGACTGGTGCTGGTAAAACAACTCTGATGGATGTGCTCGCTGGTAGAAAAACTGGTGGATATATAAGCGGGGACATCAGAATTTCAGGATATCCTAAGAAGCAAGAAACCTTTGCAAGAATTTCTGGATACTGTGAGCAAAATGATATCCACTCTCCTCATGTTACTGTCCATGAGTCTTTGCTCTATTCAGCGTGGCTCAGATTGTCACCTGGGATCAATGCTGAAACCAGAAAGGTTAGTATCTGAATCACCAGAGATTTTTAAATCAATACTAACATGCTTTATCGATGCTGCTAAATTTGAAACTGACTAATGGTTGCAGATGTTTATTGAGGAAGTTATGGAACTTGTGGAACTGAAACAGCTGCGGAACGCATTAGTAGGACTTCCTGGTGTAAGTGGTCTCTCAACGGAGCAGCGCAAAAGGTTGACTATTGCGGTTGAGTTGGTAGCTAATCCTTCTATAATATTCATGGATGAGCCAACATCTGGGTTAGATGCAAGGGCTGCAGCTATTGTTATGAGAACAGTTAGGAACACAGTAGACACCGGAAGAACAGTTGTTTGTACCATCCACCAACCTAGCATTGATATATTTGAATCTTTTGATGAGGTGAAGATGGAAAAGTCGAAAAAACTCAAGAAATGAAGAATTTTATGTTTGTTTTCTTCCATTACAATTTACTAAGTGTCTAATATTTTTCTCATTATGAAATGCCAGCTTTTGCTACTAAAGCAAGGAGGGAAAGAGATATATGTGGGGCCACTTGGACATCATTCTTCCAATTTAATCAGTTACTTTGAGGCAAGTTGAAACTATATACCCAATGAAAAATAGAGAATACTGAATTCATTTTTATGCTTCAAATCATTATCTTGTTAAAATTTCAAGTTCATCGGGAATACTTTTTTTGTCTTGAAGGGAAACCAAGGTGTTAACAAGATTAAAGACGGTTATAATCCGGCAACATGGATGTTGGAAATCACATCTTCATCTAAAGAAGTGGAATTGGGGATTGACTTTGCAGATTTGTACAAAAACTCAGAATTATACAGGTATTTTCACTTATATGAAACAAAATCAAACTATAGAACTAGTCACTGGATAATAATCTACTTTAACTGTTTCAGGAGAAACAAAACACTTATCGAAGAATTGAGTACTGCAGCTCCTGGTTCGTCAGATCTTTATTTTCGTTCACAGTACTCAAGATCCTTTGTTACACAATGCATGGCTTGCTTATGGAAACAACATTGGTCTTATTGGCGCAATCCTATATACACTGCTATAAGATTTCTCTATTCAACCATGGTAGCTGTTTTGCTTGGAACCATGTTTTGGAATCTTGGCTCCAAAATGTAAGATCAAATTGGAAATATTTTACAGCTTCAAACTCTTGAGTTTGTATAACTGTTTTTTTTTGGATCTAAGATTAAAATTTCATATGAAATTATTGCAGAGAAAAGGTTCAAGATCTTTTTAATGCCATGGGGTCCATGTACGCTGCTGTCCTCCTCATTGGCGTCAAGAATGCTAGTTCAGTGCAGCCAGTGGTTGGTGTTGAAAGAACGGTGTTTTATAGAGAAAGAGCTGCCGGAATGTATTCAGCTTTTCCATATGCTTTTGCTCAGGCAAGCATCCCTTATTTTTAAAACTTTTCTTTTGTTTGACTTCTGTAATATCCTCCAAATCAATTTATTCCAAACAAAAGTGAAGAACGTCTAAAACAATTATAAAAGTAGATTCTCATACCATCTTAAATGCCTTTAATATCTTAAAGATTATTAAAAAAGGTTGACAATTTATACATTTAATATTACTTCTACTTCACCTTTGTTTTCTTGCATTGCAGGTTGTAATTGAGCTTCCATATGTTTTTGTACAAGCTTTGGTTTATGGATTAATAGTTTATGCTATGATTGGTTTTGAGTGGTCTGTGGCTAAAGTTTTGTGGTACCTATTCTTTATGTATTTTACCTTCCTCTACTTCACCTTCTATGGTATGATGTCAGTGGCCGTGACCCCAAACAGCCACATTTCAAATATAGTTTCCTCCGCCTTCTTTTCAATTTGGAATCTCTTCTCAGGATTCATAGTCCCAAGACCAGTAAGTTTACAATTTCCTCAAATCCTTAGCCCATTCTAATTTCATGTTTTACCTCCCTTAGCTATCAGTTTATTGTTAAGCATAGAAATATATAGCTAAATTATTGTATTTTTTTATGGCTTGGGCTAACAGAAAATTCCAGTATGGTGGAGATGGTATAGCTGGGCGAATCCCGTGGCTTGGAGTTTGTATGGATTGGTGGTATCACAATATGGAAATGTAAAACATAACATTGAATCGAGTGATGGAGGAGTAACAACAGTGGAAGAGTTTTTGAGAGATTACTTTGGTTTCAAGCATGATTTTCTAGGAGTTGTTGCTGTTGTTAATGTTGCATTTCCAATAGTTTTTGCTTTCATCTTTGCCATATCAATCAAGATGTTTAATTTCCAAAAGCGCTAAGAATATTCATTTTTTGTTTACAAATTTCATGAATAAAAGATCCCACAACCATTACTGTATATTGTGAGATGTTGGATCGAACTCTAATATGGTCGAAGTCTGTTCACGAGTAATTTGTGTTGTAGTCTCTAATATGGTCGAAGTCTGTTCGCGAGTAATGTGTGTTGTAGTCGAAGTTTGTTCTAACATGCATTAGTCAATATTGCTAGGGTTGTTAGCATGTTGAATTGGGCCTTACTTGTAAGCCCAATTGTTTAAGTTAACTTGTACCCTAAGTTAACTTGTAATGGGTAATTGTTAAAAAGCCCATTAGATTAGTGTGCTATTTTTTCTTATAAATAGGATACTAGTTTCTCAATCTTGAAATAAGGAAAAATAGGAAGATAAAATCCTAATTTCAAGGGAGAGAAGTTATTTTGTTATTTTTATATACTTGTAATCTTGTTCTAAGAGAAAGGAAAGATTAACAGTTTAATAACCAATCCTTGTTGCTTTCTTCTTTATTAACTCTAACCCATGTGTTTTCTTGATCACAAAGAAACGGTTTATACTTAGTTTGAAGGTATCCGATTCACAACAAATTGGTGCGGTGAGCGTGGAGAAGATGCATTTAACAAAGTATGAGATTGAAAAGTTCACTGGAGTGAACGATTTTGGTCTGTGGCGCTTGAAGATGAAAGCTCTGTTAGTTCAGCAGGGTTGTTTGGAAGCGTTGAAGGGTGAGGCAACCATGGATGCTGCGTTAATGGCAAAAGAAAAGACGAGTATGATTGAGAAAACCCACAACGCAATATTGTTGAGCCTTGGTGATAAGGTTCTTCGACAGGTATCAAAGGAGACTACAACATCGGGATTATGGGTGAAACTTGAAAGTTTGTACATGACCAAATCTTTGGTGAATCGACTCTACCTGAAGCAAGCTTTATATTCATTCAAGATGAGTGAAGACAAAGTGTTGGCTGAGCAGTTGGATATGTTCAACAAACTGATTCTTGATCTTGAAAATATTGATGTGAAGATCGATGATGAAGATCAAGCACTGTTGTTGCTGTGTGCTTTGCCCAGAACACATGCTCACTTCAAAGAAACTCTCTTGTATGGAAGGGAGTCTCTGACCTTTGAAGAAGTTCAATCAGCCTTGTATTCTAAGGACTTGAACGAACAAAAGGAGCATAAACCTTTGACGGTGGGCGAAGGTTTGGCCGTTAAGGGAAAATTTTTGCGAAAGGATGGTAAGTTCGACAAGAAGAAAGGTAAAAGTCAACAAAAGTCTTATAGTGGCGAAACATCTAGTATTCGATGTTATCATTGTAAGAAGTAGGGTCACATAAGAAAGGTGTGCCCTGAACGCCTGAAAGATCATGGAGGTAATGGCAATGCAACCATTGTTCAAGATGACTTCGACTCATCTAATGCTCTTGTGGTTTCAAGTGGCGACTCGAGGAAATAGTGGATTATGGATTTAGGTTGCACTTGGCACATGACTCCAAACAGAGAATTGTTCGAGGAGCTATGTGATCAAGATGGTGGATATGTGCTGTTAGGAAACAACAAATCTTGCAAAATTGCAGGTATTGGATCTGTGAGATTCAAGCTCCATGATGAGTCAATAAGGTTATTGACTGAAGTCAGGTACGTACCTGACTTGAAGAGAAATTTGATTTCTCTTGGTGAATTCGACAGAAAAGGATACATTTTTCAAGGAGAGAAAAGTATCCTAAGAGTCATGAAGGGGTCGAATGAAGTCTTGAGAGGCGTGAAGAAACAAGGCTTGTATACCCTTGAGGCTGAGGTTGTAAGTGGTTCGACAAATGTTGCATCCACGAAACGTATGTCGAAGACAGAATTATGGCACATGAGATTGTGCCATGTCAGCGAAAGAGGCCTGGTCGAATTGAGGAAGCAGAACCTGCTAAGAGGTGACAAAGTCGAAAAGTTGGAATTTTGTGAATCTTGTGTACTTGGTAAATCCTATAGGGTGAAGTTTAACAAAGGCAAGCAAAGAACACATGGATCCCTGGATTACATCCATGTTGATCTTTGGGGGCCTGCAAGAAATCCTTCACACTCAGGTGCAAGGTATTTTCTATCCATCGTTGATGACTATTCCAGAAAGATATGTGTATTCATTCAGAAGACGAAGGATGAAACTTTTGAGAATTTCAAAAGTTGGAAGATTCTGGTCGAAACTCAAACTGGCAGAAAGGTTAAGAGGTTGAGAACCGACAATGGCCTTGAATTCTGCAACAAAGCGTTCAACAGTTACTGTGTTGAGTTTGAGATTGCAAGGCATAAGACTGTAGCAGGTATTTCTCAACAAAATGGCTTAGCTGAGAGATTCAATCGAACAATCCTTGAAAGGGTTAGATGCATGTTGGTTAGTGCTGGATTGAAGAATTTGTTTTGGGCGGAAGCTGTTTCGACAGTAGCTTACCTGATAAATAGATGCCTCTCGACTGCCTTAGGAATGAAGACACCTGAAGAAGTTTGGTCGGGACATCCACCTAGTCTCGACAGACTAAGAGTATTTGGCTGTGTAGCCTATGCTCACATTAGACAAGACAAGGTCGAACCTAGAGCTCTGAAATGCATGTTCATTGGATACCCTGAAGGAGTCAAAGCTTATAGGCTATGGTGCCTAGAGCCAGGTCACAGGAGGTGTATCACCAGTCGAGATGTAGTTTTCAATGAAGCAGAGATGGCTTTCAAGAAAACTGATGATGCTGACGAAGAGCTGGAACAGGGAGAGATTCCTGTTGAGGTGGAACATGTTGATGCTGAATTCCTTACCCCAGATGAAGTCGAAGAAGACACATAAGATGTTGTCGAAGATGAGGAGATTTATAATGACTACCTGCTAACAAGAGATAGGTCGAGGAGAGTCATCAAGTCACCTTAGAGACTTGGGTATGCAGATCTTATAGCTTATACTTTAATATCTGCTAGTGAGGTTCTAGATGAAGAACTTAGAGACTATAAGGAAGTTATGAGGAGTCGAAAGAAGACTGAATGGCTGAAGGCCATAGATGATGAGATGAAATCTCTTCATGATAACAACACCTGAGAACTGATCAAGAAACCTGTTGGAGCCAGATTAGTCAGCTGTAAATGGATTTTAAGATACATAAATGGGTATCTGAATAGAGTCCTAATTTATGGTGGAGTCTTAGGTGAAGATAGTTAAGCAGCAATTGAAGGATATGTCGATTGTGATTATGCAGGTTGTATGGATTCCAGAAAATCTATCTCTGGATATGTGTTCACTATGTTTGGGACAACAATCAGTTGGAAAGCAACACTTCAGAAGGTCGTTGCCTTATCAACCACTGAAGCGGAGTACATTGCCCTAACTGAAGTTGTGAAAGCAACATTGTGGCTTGAAGGTTTTACAAAGGAGTTAAAACTTCAAGGTCGAGTTATCACTGTTAAATGTGATAGTCAAAGTGCAATACACCTGTCGAAGAATTCAGCCTATCATGAGCGAACCAAGCACATTGATGTGAGGCTGCATTTCATCATATGGGTAATTGAGCGTGGAGAAGTCCAAATGCTGAAGGTTTCGACAAATCATAATGTTGCTGATATGATCACCGAGACGTTGACCAGTTGCAAGTTTTTCCACTGTATGCAGTTAATAAAACTGCATGAAGAAAGTTAGTTTCTTGACGTTACAGAGTTAGATCCAAGGTGGAAATTTGTGAGATGTTGGATCGAACTCTAGTATGGTCGAAGTCAGTATGCGAGTAATGTGTGTTGTAGTCGAAGTTTGTTCTAACATGCATTAGTCAATATTGCTAGGGTTATTAGCATGTTGAATTGGGTCTTGCTTGTAAGCCCAATTCTTTAAGTTAGCTTGTACCCTAAGTTAGTTTGTAATGGGTAATTGTTAAAAAGCTCATTAGGTTAGTGTGCTATTTTTTCTTATAAATAGGATAATAGTTTCTCAATTTTGAAATAAGAAAAAATAGGAAGATAAAATCCTAATTTCAAAGGAGAGAGGTTATTTTGTTATTCTTGTATACTTGTAATCTTGTTTTAAGAGAAAGGAAAGAAGAGCAGTTTAATAACAAATCTTTGTTGCTTTCTTCTTTATTAATTCTAATCCTTGTGTGTTTCTTGATCACAAAGAAACGATTTATACTTAGTCTGAAGGTATCAGATTCACAACAAATATAAATTCCAATCATTATTTTAAATCAATTATTCTTCAATGGCTGCATGATTCTTCTATAAGAGGACATTCAGGAGAACAAATGCTTAGAAACTGTCATTCAACTGTTTCATTATTCTAGAATGATGCTGTAATCATGTCCTTTTATGAGCTTCTTTGTGCTGAACAATTGCATATCAAGAAACTTTCAATGGTTATCTTTATTATCCGTAGAGGTTAAAGATGACGAGTGTTCAAAAAGTTATCATGGAATTAGATGACAAAATAGTAGATGTTAGATGACATCAATAAAAACTTATTTGATGCAACTGGATTTGGTATTATTCTTATGGGGATGTAAAACTTTATTGCAGTTTTGTTGCTCATACATTTACGAGAACATATTAAATACTAACTCCCATGTTTTAAATTATAGACGGACTTCTATTAAAAGTAAAATATATTTGTTGCTATCTATGTGACTAATTGTGATGGAGATATCTGAGGTGGCACATCTAAAAATGCACTTCATAGTCACATTAATGCAACAATTTTTGAATAGCGGGAGTTTTTGCATGTAGCCTTTTAGCCCTTTGTTTTTGCCGCTTCTACGTCCGCCACCACCACTCATAGATGGAAGTGCATATTTTCGCATGTAGCCTTTTGTTTTGCCGCTTCTACGTCCGCCTCCACTGGTCAAGCTATTATAGATGGAAGTGCATATAAGCCTCCTATATTGTCGTTCTAAGATATTTTTACTTGAAGATTAAGGAGGCATTACCGTGAAGGAAAGAGTGGATCTAATTGAAAAGAGATTTATAGAAGTTTCTCTTTAAGGAGAAAATTGATT